AGATTCTGTGAACTGTACCCAGCTTAACCAACACAAGAGTGTCAGAAACAGGCAGTGGCACTGAGAGTTCCTCTGCCTTTCCTGTGTGGCACAGGTTTGTATGAACACTCGTGACTGGGATTCAGAGCTGACATTCTGGCATGCTCAGGAGGTTTGTGTGCATACCAGTATGTTTGGTTTGTGCAGATCACTGGAGGCTCTAACAGCCTGTTTCAAAAACTATTCTGTCTGATTTTGTTTGTCCAATCTCTACGGCAATAGAAATCCAGTAGGAACTGGAAAAATCCAATAATATTGACATGAGTATAGAGCAATGTGGTACCTTAGTGAGAACGAATCTTAAATTATTGTAATAAATTAGAAATTAGCAGAAAATATACTCAGGTAATGCAGTGGTGATGGTGTTAAATAATTTAGCTCTATTTCTATGTGAGATCACCCCACAAACTTACCCACCTAAAATCAGGTTGTTCTTCTGTTAGAGTCTTTTAAAAGTGGTATTGACAGGTATTTTCAGCAAAACCATCTCAGTAATTTTGTGAACTGTGTGGCTACAGTGTATCAGCCTGCAAAGGGAAAAAGTCCAAATTTAATGACTGAATTATTAGACGAGTACTAATTTCCACATACATTGTGTAATTCATCAGAATTTTCCCTGGGGTGCTATAGGGCTCCAAATCTACATCTGGGAATTTTAGAACACACTAGCAATAAACCAGTAGCATTAACCAAACTTCTGCTGCATTGTTTTATTATGGTTCATCCTGTGTTGTGCAGACTGGACATAATGATATGTTCTAGACAGAAATGCAAGGATGTTTTCAAGTTTAAAGTAATTATTTTGAAAGACATTTTCTTTCTTCTCTTTCTCTTCCACCACTTTTCTTTTGATCTCTCTTGTCACTGATATCACCATAGTATTTGTGATAATGACATTTCTAGGCAGCTCTTGTTCTCTGGAATACACTTCCTGTATTTCTCTGCTTAAATGATTATTCATCACTGTCAAACATCCTGATTTTATTATTATGGATCAAACATAATAAAAAGATTTTCTTGTAACAGTATAAAAATTATGCGTAACAGGGTTTTGTTTCAAATATACTGAAAAAAATGAAATTGTTCCATAGAGAAATTGCAAAATCATGCAGATAAGGCTTTATGACTCAGCTGATAGGCATTCATACAGCAGCAAGTATAGAGCAGCAATTAAAAATACATAGCTCCATCCTCCATTTGCAAATACACCGTATCTTCTTAGCAATAACATTGTACAGGAAATACAGGATCCATTACTTTGGCTTGAAAACGTAAGAAGGTGAGCTAATTTTTTGTTGTTGTTGGTTTAGACTTGTACATTTTTAGTATATGTTAATTTGAATAAGAAATCTGTAACTCACATCTGCCAGAATGAAAAAAAATGCAGTAAGTCATCATAATTACCTCAAATTCCAATAGAGGCATATTCATAAATGACCAATATAGGATAAATGGGAAGCTTAAACATCATGTTTGGGGGAATCCAACAATTAAAGATCTTACCAAAGCTAAAGATTTCCCAAATTTGATAATACTGGAATTCAAATACATTATCCATAATAAAGTCCTTTTAATACTTAGTGAAGACATTTATGTGATAAAGCACAACAGACACTGGATACCTCAAAAGGGTTAATTGGTACCTATTCATTACTACCAGAATCTGTTTAATAGTCTGACAAATATTATCTGAACACAAGTAGTTTCCCACTGAGAGACCTGCACTTTCAAATCAGAATTAAGTTTAGAGGCAGAAGTAACCTTGATTAGAAAGACCATTGAAAAACAAGTAGGACAGTGTCCAAGTGAATATTTTTTTTGTTTGATTTAATTTTTACTCATGCTTTGTTTAGATTTTCTGTTAGGCAGAAATGGAATTTGCATGGATAAAGGAACAAATTCCGATTATATAAAGGGTGGTTCAGTATCAACAACTCGACTTCTATGATAAACCTAAACACCCCCTCCCCCAACCCTCAACAAAATAAACCCAAAAGCCCTAACAGGCCCCCCTGACAATAGCATTTGCAGGCTGTGCTGGAGGTGGGAAAAACTGCACCTGCTCCTCCATGCCCTGGTTAGCCCCCTTAGCAAAAGAATAAAATGGATGAAGTTTAAAAACGATTTTTTATGGCATCTCTGTCTACAACATTCTGACACTCTGCATTAGGTGGATGTAAGTGCCACTGAAATACATACAGCAACCCATGTGTAACAGTCAAAACTGGAAACAGCTTGCTAATTACTGGACTCATCCTAAATAAAGAACTCGGTTTCTTTCGCTAGTAAAAATTACCATCGTGGCTGCAAATGAGTTTTTCCAGACTCATGAAAGCACTTGAGTTCAGTATTTATTACAAGAGGACTTGCACCTCTTAAAAAAGAGCAAATCTGCAAATGGGTTTAAAACAACCATAGGGAAATGTGCTCATGTAATGGAGCTGCTTTTTAAAAATGGCTTGAGTGGGTATGTTTAAACACAAAGATATAATAAAAACAGTTTATTGCTAAGTGCCCCATATTTTCTAAAGATAAGTATCAGAGGCAATAAATAGATTAGATATATAACTTGTTCAGCATTTCCTTTAAAAATAACCACACAAGAAATAAACAAAGAAATTTACTTTCTTACTACATTTAATGGTGCCCTCCATATTAAAACTTTAGACAGGAAAATAATCCGCAGAAGCAAGCTACTGGAGATAAATCAAATTACAAAAATGCAGGCTTTAATACGTCACTTGAGAGATGCTGTCTGTTACATTTTCAGTTCTGTTTCTTTAGGTGGAACAGAGGAATACTGGAGTGCATTAAATTATTCTTATAATTATGAATCTAATTGTTTTATTGTCATCATTAAGGCTTTGCCTATTATGACACATGACAAGTCATATTCCTGAACAGTTATACTCTTCTCATTTGGAATCAACTGAACTGGTATATTTAGAAGTAAATGAGAATTAGTTTAATATTACTCATACTGTCAAGGCTATTATTGATAATTGGCTGTGCTTCTAAATACCTCCTCTGTGTTCACTCTCAGTGCTGAGTCTTCTTCCACACAAAATATACTCAGTCATTTTAAAGTCAAGGACATGAAAGGAAAATGGCTTCCCTGCTGCAAAAGTCTCATTGCAGTAGTGAGAATTTCTCAAGTCACGTACAAAGGGCATGGACGAGGAGATACACTACGTTAAAGCTCAGTGGAGACCTTCAGTAACATCTGATCTGTATAGGCAGTTACCTGTGGTTTAACATTACTGGCACAGTAAAAAATATTAGCTAAAAATAGAACTACAGAATTATAATTCTTAAATTTTACAAAATCTACAAGGTCTGCAAATTACCGCAAACCACAAGTGAGCTTATTGTCTAAAGGCTTGTTTAAGGTCTGACAGGAGTTCTTTTGCAGTATTTTTAAACACAGTTCTTTACCTTAACTTCAGACTGGCTCCACTATTTAAAGAAAGGTTTATTAGCATTACTGTGGCTGAATTCAGCAAAGTTGAAAGGAGGTTTAAAGCTTCTGATTCTCTACATTTGTCAGCTGATAAATGTTTTAGTCATATTTTTATACTTGTGATGATAATAAAACTATTACTTTATATACACACAGTACAAACCTTGACCTATATGCAAGACTGGGCTAAATTAAAAAAGAAACCAGGTACGTTTCTGAGAACAACCAATGCAAACCAGAAATAAAACAGGTTTTTGTGTGTACAGCTTTATAAACATGGCATCATTTAAGAACTGATAGCCGCATGGAAACACAAAGTGAGATCACATTCTCAGTTAGAACTAAGAGGAAACAACTGCGACATTTCCATTTGCATTGTGATATTGCTACTAAAGAGAATAACATCTTTCTACATCTCTACCACTGAACCTTTTTAAAGGATTTGGTTGCCAAGGAAACTGGTTCTGGCCCAGTATTAATCTGAAAGAAATATATTATGAGTTGGTGTAAGTAATACAGTACTCATAATGATTGTTATTCTTTATGCTCAAATTCAAGGTTTTGTACTTAAGGCTGTTAAGTTTTTATTTAATAAATTTCTTTTGTGTGTAGTAAAACACATTTCAGTGAACTGATACTCAGTTTAAGCTAACAGGGCCATCTATATCAATCTCTCTCTTTAAAGTTCTCCTACCTTTAAATAACAAGAAATACTGCAGTTTTATGTTTGTAGCCAATACTGAAAATATAAGCATTAAAGCATATTATTCTTTATTTAATATTTCGCACAAAACACAAAACCGCTTATGACAGAATTTAAATATTTTTCTCTATTCTAATCTTCCTCAATTTTTATTTCTGCCTTTTAGCTGCAAGTTTAGTAATGCTTATAGTCAGCTTTAAAATGTAATGGAATCAATAAGGTTTTCAAAAATTCTTTTGTTGCATAAGCGTTGCCACGCCCTTTGTACATATGATTATTTTAACAGACATGATTGCTCCACTTTCACAACAGATTTAAAAAAAACAGATACGAGTAATTGCCATGCCAACATGTGAAGCCAACAATTTAATACAGGTTGTTTTCATTAACAGTTTAGTACATTTTAAAACTGAAAGCCACATTCCAAAGCCCATTTCATGTTCTTGCAACACTGACCAAGAAAACAGTAAAACATGCAAATCTCAACCTACCTGCATGTACCACTTAGAGCAGTGTTAACATGCCAATGCACCCAGCCATTTTTATGTAAAGCGATGGAGATAAGTTCTGTTTGTGGTCTTCTTGATAATTTTTTAGCAGCAGTTGTCAAAATTCAGATGGGAAGCAGCTTGAATAGACCGTGAGCAGAAGAACTGAGTTTATCAACAGGGAAAGCAGGAGTGGGAAAAAAAAGTCCTCATCCAAGGTTTTCCAAAACTGCAAAACAAGGTTGGCTTTTTTTTTTTCCTCCTCCTTAGAGGGTTCAAAGCTTGAAGCTGACCACTGCAAAGGCCACTTGTCACATTTACTGAAAATCAACCTATTGATATCACAGCTGAAAATATAAACTCGACAACCAAAGCCCATTGCACAACGTGGACTGCGTAAGAGTTAAAAATAGATTTGACGTGCCTCCTACCTGCATAATAAATATGTAAGTTTCAAGTGCTTTAATTTGATATTCACATTAATTAACAATACAATATACATTATTTAAACTACAGTAAATGCAAGAAGAAAAAGGGTGACACCATCTGGAAGCACAGTTTGCTTTTTTTCCCCTTTCCAAGGGCTAATAATGTAGTTTGAATGTGATGACAAGCTAACAGCTCACCACATTGCAAATGAAAAAAGAATTCTTAAGGTGATGCTCAAATATCTAAGCCTGTAATGAAGCAAAAACCAGTCTTCACTACTGCATGACATGGCACACAGACCATTTACATACTCACATTTGAGATACTAGGCACAGTATAATGAATTCAATACACAGCATGCACACAGCACAAGCAACGTTAATCCTGCCTGCCATTTTAGGCTTGCAGGAGTAAGATACATACTGCAGCACAGCTCTGGTAAGGGAGGAGGCAGGGGACAGCTCACCTTAAATGCAGTATCTGATTAATGTTGTAAGTGACATTGCGTATCAGCTACAGAGTCTTGGTTCAACTGGGTGGGAGGGAACAAAGAAAATTGTCATCAACTGGTGATGCAAGATGAGCTCCAGTCACTAACACTGTTAGCAAACTCCAAATTCTACAATGATACAGTAGTAGGCATTTCAAACTCTTATCAAAATCTGCTTGTGCAATGTCTGAGTCGCCTACCGAGGAAAACAAAACAGTCTTCTTATTGGAGAAACGCTGCATCCACTACAGCAACATCCTCTTGATGCAGAAAGATTTCACGTCACACATATTAAATCCTGAATGTATTTGCTGTGCTTTCTTAATTTTTAAGTTCCAGTATTTAAAAATAAAATTAAAAACCAATGATAGCAAAAATAATATAGCTAATGTTCAGACAAATAAAACATTCCTTTTTCTCTCCTTTCTGTTTTCTCTCTTTACAGTCCATCAAAATTCTGAGCAGTATTGACAAACCACACGAGCACCGGGTCTGACTGCATGATCAGCTGTCTGTGTCTACGCTACACCCTGTTAACCACAAGCAGTGTTAGAGCTAAATATATCTGCAATGCAGAAACAGTAGGTGCTATGTGGTATACAATTCTGATTAGTTTTAAGATATTTTTCTATCCTCAGATATAACAAATAAAACAAAATTTGCTGCTGATCTCTGTCAAGCATGGTATCTGTCAGACTTACAGAACATAAAAGCTATCCTAAGTACACTGACCTAGATAACACTAAGAAGACTTAAGCAGCGTGCAAGCATACTCACTGTCAAAGCAAGGAAAACGAAACAATGATTGCCTAATCAAACTGAAAGCAACAACTCACTAGCACAGTATAAATTCCAAAATGCTACGTACTGTATATGCACATCTCATGTTATTGGAAGACGCAAAGCTCCTTTGTTTTTTTTTTTTTTCTCAGCAGCTTTTCTTAGCTACGTTTGCACAATGACATTCTGACATCATGGAGGTCAATGCAGATACTAAAATGCTGTTGTCTTGAAGAAAAAAAAATTGAAATATAAAACCATAGCTGCAAAGATAATAATAATAATAATGATAATTAAAAATTTCACATCACCTACTTAATGTCTTTCTATTACCCTCTGAGATTAATAGCACATACGTTGTTCAGCCGCATACGTTAAATTGGTATCACCCTCTGCAGAGACTGCAAGAGTAATTGTAGGAATTAGATTTTTGTAAATGTCAAAAAAAGGGTTTTCATCTGGAAAACTTAAAAATACAACAAAATATTTTGCATGTATAATGAAAAATATGCAACGAGAAAAGCATCAAAAACTGCCAATCTGATTTTTTTTTTAAAAACACCTAATAAGCAAAATTTTTATTGTCGCTGTCTCCAGAAGGAGAATGAGAGAACCATGCTGCAGTTTATTGTAACCTGAGTTACCTTCCCAGAAGGCTAAACCATCAGGTGAGGTAAAACAAACCATATGATATACCTGTTTAGAGAGTAAAGTCCCCCCCACTATGTCGGTGACTTCTCTCAGCTCTTTATCTCTCTACCTGCAAATACCGCAAGATGATATCCAGCACAAGAACAGAACTGTGAAGATTAATGTGTTAGCTCTAAAAATACTCCTCTGAAAGATTTCCTTGGGTAACCATTGTTTACCACATGTATAAGTAAATCTAGATGGTTTCTGAGCAGTTGCAGAAATAAGCAGCTCTTTGTGAGGCCAGATTTGTCCAGAGAAGCGCGAGCTTTCATTTGACCTGCCAGTAGGGCTGAGGAAGAAAGCAGCCAAATTTTCAAACACATATTTTTTTCCCTAGGAACCTGTGTACATGATGATTTTTTTTTCTCCATAAAAGCACCTCTTTTTAAAAGGGGAGACTAATACCAAGTATTGTATTAAATCAGAAAATGTTGCACAGCAAAGACTAGGCTTTTGCTGTACGTATGTATGCACTTCTTTTCAAAAAATAGACAAAATTATTTTGCTTTTTTCCACCTTTTTTTTTTTTTTAATGATTAAATAGGTATCTGTTTAATCTGGATGTTTTTCTTTGGGAAATTATTTGGCATTTTGCTCTCTTTCATTTTAAAGGCTGGGAATGAGATGTTCCTAACAGTCAGTGCTTTAAAATATTCAGAATCCCCTTCCATAAATAGCACATCTGTCACAGAAAGGGAATCCAGCCAACAGAAAGGCAGATCAGACCAGCAAAAACAACTGCTATTCCAATGCATGATTACGAAATAAGTTTGGATTTTAGCAAGCCTTTATTTAGATTTTTTTTTGTTTGTTTTGAGGTTTTTAAAGTATGAGCTGTCTGATTATATAGATGCCACCATATATCAAATATATCAAATTTAAGAATGTTAAATATGGATTAATTTTGAGGGTTTTTAATGTTCATCTCTTAGTCAAATGTATATTGTCATGTTAGTTTAAAACCATTGAAAAGTTCCTATAGATTTCAAAAACAGAAGATTTGGGCTATATGGAGCCGTTTGTTAAAGTATGATATTATTACTTCAGAAGCAAGTGGTAGTTTTATTTAAAGACAATGATTTCCAGCAAAAGACCGATTTCAGTGGAGTCTCACAATAAATATATCTGTTGCTGCATTCTTGAAGTCAGCATTCTCATTCACTCAGATAAGTAGTGCTCTGGGACAGACACAACAAGATGATCTGGGTTGTGTGATTTAGGAAACATTAAAAACCTGCTGGAAGTGAACACAGCAGAGGAATAAACATTCCACACTGAACAGGGAAGTGACCTTGTCCAAATCTTTATGTGTATTTCTTGCTTTAATGGGCCATTTTCAGTGCTTAGTTATAGTTTTGCAGGCTTAGATTTGCAATGATTTTGCTTCAGACTCAGCATCATTTCAGCTCAGAAATCAGTCTCTAAGTCCTTCTATAATTACACAATACATGCCATAGTAAATAAATAAAATTTTTAAAGTGCACTTGTATGTTGCACAAAGTAAGTCTGATTTTTCAAGGTTGACATTTATTAATACTGTATGTTACTTCTCAGTCAGCAACTTGGATTTAAGTCTAACATGATTTGTGCCAAAACTGTTACAGTCCCAAGGCACTGTCTCACTTGAATCCTTATGACCAAATTCCCTGCATCTGCAGGGTTGGGACTACCTCTATCCATGCTATAGGCTTGTGTTGGTTCTGTATTCAATCAGCTTAAAGTGATCCTATTTCAAGTATCTACACTGGATCTCACAGGCTATTTGTGCTGCAGCCTTTCTCACTTTCAAGCATCCTACTTGTAAACACACTTCCTCTTCCTTTATTTATCACCACTCGAGTGCAACAACATCTTGTCTCTCCTCACATACTATTGCTTATCAAAACTGGTGAGGAACGAAGAGTTCCAGCATCACTTTATATTGAGCATTCTCCTCATGTTATATGGTTTTTTTAGAGGAAGTGTCCTAGTCCTCCACATCAATCATTTGGCAAAAGGAGGTAGAGTGTGGAAAGAAAGACTCACTTGAAGTCCCTAAAACTGTACTGATTTTTATCTCAAAGTATTGCCACACCTTGTCTTCCTAAGAAGGAAATACTACGAGCAGTTTAATAGTCTGGGAACTCTACAAGCACTAACCTTGTAAATATCTGGAGGAAGACTAGGAGACTGAGAAAAAAGTGACAAACACTTTTAATTTTATATGTGTCTGTCATATAAAGCTTGCTTCTGTCTTTCTTTGACAGTGGCCCAAGCCCAATTGTGCCTCCATCTATACAGAAGACATGCTGCATGTAGGACTTCTGCTTAATAGTAGTGAACATGTTTAATAAGTGAATGAACAAACACACACACACTTGGGTTCGTTCCCACCTTAGTACTTGTACTTTTGTTTCTTTTGTTTTTAAAATTGTTTGTCAAATAAATGAGCAGCATACAGCAATCAAGGGACAGAATCAGCTCCAACCCTCAAGAAACTGTAGTCAACTGTTTGGTGATACCATCCCTGCAAAGCAATGACAAGGGGACATGAAGGACAGCTGGGAATCCAGGGTGGGTGTTTCTAAAAGGGCATTCCAGAACTGGCTACAGCCTATCAGCAAACCTGCTCTTGGAACGACTCCTTCAGCCTCTGAATTTAGCTGCATTAATTATGTTTGTCTCTTCATTCCAATAGTGCTGTTGCATAAAACACATTATTGATGAGCACTTAGTTTGAAATTCAGAGTTATTTTGGAGAACAAAAAACCCACATCCTTTATCATGAACTAAAATTCTCTGACCTAACACACTCAGGAAAGCATCCATGTACCCAGACACTGAGCCTAGTAATTAACCTGCTGCTCAGCTGCCTTCCATCCAAACTCCTACTGCTACAGCCTACATGAAGAAGCTGCCTTCTTCAGTACTGAAACCTTCACTAATTGTTGTTGGGATGTAGAAAACAAGGCAGGGGGAGGAAAAAAAAGGACTGATGGTAGAACCTCCACTCCAGAGTTTGCCTTGCTAGAGCCAAAGTAAAGCACATTTATGGCTGATCCAGCCAACATACCCTGGACTTCCTTTTGTGTACACATCTAGTTTAAATTACCCCAAGGATACAGACTAACTCAGTTGAGTGCTGACAGTTTTCCCAGACTTTCCCACAATTCCTTCTGTGTCTCTGTGTGGCTATGAAGTCTTCCATTATTTGCCGGGACTGAAAACAGTTGTTCTTTGTTATTCCTATGAACGATTTACACAGCTTCACTTTTAATTGTCACACTCATATGAAAAGGACATCAAAAATAATATCTAAGTGATCTAAGATGCAACTTTAGACTCTTGCAGTTCCTGTTAGATAGGACTTTTCCAGCTGAATTAAAAGAGCAGTTTTTAAAGAGAGAAATTAAAGAGAGAATTAAAGGCAATTCCTTTTATAAAAGGCAAGTGCTGACAATCTAGAAAAATTGCAAGTAGTACCTGAATATTATGAAATGTATTCAGATATTCCCTTGTATCAATGTGTTATGAATATGCATTAGGAAAAAGCATAGGCTTTCCTACACTGAAGGATCCCAGACAAGTCATGTATTAAGATACACTGAGATGCTGGATGGTTTTTCGTGAAATGCTTCTAAGAGCCACTTACAGTCTAGTACTCTACAAACCATAAAAATTTTAAGGATAGAACACCTGAGATTCACTGTAAACAAATGGCAAAGAGAAGGTTTTAAAACACTGTAGAACCATCCATGGACGCTCAAGAAAATGATACCTTTACAGATATTTGCACTCACCTTTATAGGTTGTATTTCTGTATAATGTGACACTCACAGTAATTAGCAATAACAAGTGGCTTTGTTTTAGGTTTTTCTCTGAATAGTGCTTTAATTACCAATGAGCATGGTCTCTCCATCTAATTCTATCTCCTAAGGCACTACTTGCTTTCTAAACTGCTGCCAGACACTGTGACAAAGGTTTCAAATTTCTGTCTCTTCTCACTCCTGGCTAATTCACATGACTAGTGAATGCAGGTATTGTATTTTTATAAAATTTACTATGTCCTTGCCACTTTTTTTTTTTCTGTGTAGAAATCAGCACAACTTGCTTGTGTTGATCAGCTCAGCCATGTTCACATCACCTATTTCTTCCAGTTTCAAGGAGCAAACCTTTCTTTTAGAGAGTAAGACTTAAAGATTTGATATGGAAAG